TGTCGTGTAAAATGAAGCTATAAGAAACTTATGTGCTCAAATTGAATATAATAAAGAATGGCAACCGCCACAAACCCAACAATTAAAAACCCAACAAATTTTTCATCTTTTAACTCAAAATGTGATTACAGCTTTTAAATTTTGTGCGCGAGCCATTTTTAATTTGTTGGAAAAGACACCCCTCCCCCCGGTTCACAAACTTTGAGTTCCAGAATTTTTTTTCATTATTCTACATTATAAGTACCCAAAGAAACTATATATATAAAAAAGCGGATATACAAATAGGTGTTTTGCGAAATTGAGAGCAATTTGAAATCTGTTCAGTTTTTTTTATATACCCTATATATATATATATATATATATATATATATATATATATATATATATATATATATATATATATATATATATATATATATATATATATATATATATATATATATATATATATATATATATATATATATATATATATATATATATATATATATATATATATATATATATGTACCTTTATATTAATTAACATTATTATTACCATTTTTACAGATCTGTCCTTCGTATCCTTTCTTACATAGACAATTGAAAGGTTTAACTGGGTCCCATATCATTGTTCCACCGTTTTGACATTCGTTCACTTCTCCTCTGCACCACGCCTACAAAAGAGTTCATTGCATGATCACATGCAAACATATAGGTATCTATTTTAAATACTGACAAAGTTTAAATACCAAACAAGGTTAATTTTATTTTGTTTCAAATAGATCCCCTATGGTTATTTGTCTGCTCTGCATTTTGGTCAAACAACGCGCATATAATTCGAAGCTTAAAACAGTCAGTACACGACAGTTTTATGTAAAATTGTAAAAAAATAAGAACGCATCAAAACCTCGTCATGTCCAATTTTGAATAAGGGCTACATAGATCTGCAAAGAATTACCAAAGGATTTACGAGACCTTTTGCCGAAAATATCTTAGAACAAACAAATTAAGGGTTGGATGTAGCTATATAAGTGAGATGTTTGAATTCATATATTCTGGAACGTTTTCCAGTTTCCAGGAGGAGCTAATTTCCATACAGTTTCTGACCGTTTATGAAATTTTCCAATGGATAAATTTGTTTATTTATTCGTTATGTTTTTTCGCAAAATTGACAACGAGGTTGAAGGAGGGACGGGGGAAAGGAGGGTTATAGTTCCTTCTTGATATTTTGAATACCTTATGTAACATTTTCCTTTTCATTTCAAATTTGTACTCGTATCAGATATTTTTATTTGCGCGGGGGGCTTACCCTCCTATTCATAATTTTGCATTTACACCTCCCCTGCTTTCGCCACCTATGTATAATAATGTAGAGCGATTATCGTATTAATGGGAAGCTATACCCAAATTTTGTAAAAAGTTTATGTAATTCTTTCCCACCTGACTTCGGTCAATATTATCTTTGATGAACGTCCAAACTCGCTTTTTTACGCTGGCATTGTTATCAAATTTATGTTCAGTCGTATTTGTTAATTGACAGTTCCGTTCAATCCCCTCAGACTTCTCCTTGTAGTTCAATGCAACACAGAAACGGTTTTCTGCGCAATTAAGGCCGCAAACCTCATACGTTGCTTCTCTCAATTGAACGATGATGTTTGTTTTTAAACTAGTCACATCTAAAAAATATTAATTTATTCATTCTCGGGTTTCATATAACGTTACGTGGGAGTTAAGTTAAAGGTCTGCGGCAAGAGCGAAGGGGGGCTTTCTATATTGTTTTAATGTTGGCTTTTATAATAGTCGGATAACTCATTTGCATAAGATACGTTGACAGCCATTTTGTTTCTAAGTTCTCCTGGTTGACTGTATTTCAACGAAATTATGCTAAAATATCACGTGAAAAAGGAGACCTTCAGAAATTCATTTAATTGTTACAATTCAAATACCTGATTACTGTACTAAATCTTCAGTATGGGTTGGTAAACACGATGGAATCGGATTTTATGTACGATGTTCATGAAGTTACTTAAAACTTTAATAGGTTTGACTTTATGTTTATGCAGTAAGCACTTTCATACAATTAGGGGATATTTCTTGTGCTTAACAAGAATATTTTAATTTCGAAAGGTCTTACAGGTACATAGGGTAAAATCTCTATTTATATTTGTAGCATCTCATAAATATATCTATCACACCTAACGTTTTGTCCTAAATTTTGTAGCCGGGTGAAATGAAATCAGCAGGAAGATTTAAAATTTTAAATGACATTTATAGGACTGAGTTACCGACCCGTGAAATTTGATCTCGGCCAAACAATAAAGTCTTCTAAATTGTTGCGTGGTATCACAGACAGAACATTTCTCTGCGCGGGTGAGTTTAATTTTCATCTATTGGTTAATTGCAAAGAGGGTATTACAGTAGAAAAGTCTAGGTTGGAGTGTCTATTTTTTGTGGTTTATAACAAATATTTAAGAGCGTGTGTCTCTAAAAACCGCCCACTGACTTGGGGCTCGAAAAATAAATTTCTTCGAAACTTTTACCGTGAACTACATTTACTTTGACAACAAACAAATGCTGTTTGGAATTTTCAAAATATATTTAGTTTCAAAGTTTTAGCGATTTTTTTTTCTCTCGCGACGCGGGAGAAATTCGCCGGCTAATTAAGCGAAAAAATTGGCTGAATTTAAATAAACATAATTTTAAAAGGGTTTGTTTAAAATTTCTGATATTCACACCCAACACCGGAAAACTATCGTAATTTCATCTAAACTAACTTAGGTTTTCAATTACAGAGCATTTGTGACAGTATTTAGTGATAAAGAGCACCATGTCAAAATACGGCTTTCAAATCCTACTATTTTCTATGCAGAATTTCTTAAAAGTGGGACCTAATTACATACAGTGACTAGTATAGTTGGAAAAAGGACACTTTGAAGTACTAAAAACCGTAATAAAACTCTCTGCAAACGCGATTTGAACAATTGAGAGCGTTGAAATTTTAAAACTATTTATGGCCTTTTGTTTACATTAGAATGTTGCTGAGGTCGAACGTCTGAGTTCGTGTCACTGCTAAAAATGCGGTGTAGTTCTGCCAAATAACATTTTCTCGTTGCCCTTCTCTCAAAACAAATCGATAATGTCATAGTACTAAATTAGATTTCGTTGTTTATCTTACAAGATATTTAAATAGATGATATTAAAGTAACTAAACATATAAAATTGAATCACGGTAAATACTTGCAAAAAATGTCGCCATTAGTACAATAGTGCTATAAACTTATTTGAGGAAAAGGTTATTTGGCAGAACTACAGCGCATTTTTAGTTGTGACATGAACTCAGAAGTCTGACCTCAGCAACATTCTAATGTAAACAAAAGGCCATAAATGGTATCAAATTTCAAACGCTCTCAATTGTTCAAATCGCGTTTGCAGAGGAGTTTTATTACAGTTTTTAGTACTTCAAAGTGTCCTTTTTCCACCATACTAGTCACTGTGTGTAATTAGGTCCAACTTTTAAGAAATTCAACGTAGAAAATAGTAGGATTTGAAAGCCATATTTTGACATGGTGCTCTTTGTCGCTAAATATTGTCACAAAGGCTGCGTAATTGAAAACCTAAGTAAGTTTAGATGAAATTACCATAGTTTTCCGGTGCTGGGTGTGAATATCAGAAATTTTGAACAATAACTTTTGAAATTATGTTTATTTAAATTCAGCCAATTTTTTCGTTTAATTAGCCGGCGAATTTCTCCCGCGACGGTGCGAGACCAAAAAATCGCTAAAACTTTGAAACTAAATATATTTTGAAAATTCCAAACAGCATTTGTTTGTTGTTAAAGTAAATGTAGTTCACGTTAAAATTTCGAAGAAATTTAGTATTCGAGCCCCAAGTCAGTGGGCGGTTTTTAGAGACACACGCTCTTAACAAGCTCGCTTCGATCGTAACTGGCAAATCTGTTAAGTAACTTGAGAGTTTGGTGGGTCACCGTGGGTCGAGAGTTTGCGTTTAGACATGGCCACGTTCACAAATTAGGTATCGACGACTTGGTAACGTGTTTACATTTAACCTAGCTGTTCTCGAGTGCCGAGAACAACACCTCTCCCCTATAGTACCACAATCACACTTCCTAAGGAAGTGGAGATGAGCAAGGGCACTAAGACTCGCTCCGAAAGAGACACTGTATAACGAACAACTTATGACACACACACACACGAGTTTGGGCCGATTGTTGACGCTGATTGCCGCGAGCACAGGACGGGAAGGACGATGCGAAACACGAAGGATTGTGAGATACCAGGGTCGTTAACCCAGCGAGGCTGGCGCGAGGTGCCAGATCATGAACAGGGAAAGGTATTTAACTGAGATAGCGCAATCGACGGGTAGCGAGCCAAGCGACGGGGCTGGCTGCGGGCTTCCTCCGGGAAGGCTACGGATGGGCGTTGGGAGGGAGAGGGGATGGGAACGACTAAGATCACCCGTGGGTGAGGGAGGATGGGAACGATTAAATGTCACGACTGAGAATAAGCTACTGGCGTAAACAACTTATATAAGGTAGGTTATGCAAATACCCTCATTAGCATTTTCCAAGCTGTCCCTGGGGCCTCCTATTCTGATAACAAGTACAACAACTCAGCTCGTTCTTAATATAATTTATTTCATAAATCCAATTAACAAGCTCGTTTCTATCGTAACTGGCAAATCTGATAAGTGACTTGGTTACACTGAAGAGGAAGTTCGGTCGAAGCCATGACCGTGGGTCGAGAGTTTGCGTTTAGTCATGGCCACGTTCACAACTTAGGTATCGACGACTTGGTAACGTATTTACATTTAACCTAGCTGTTCTCGAGTGCCGAGAACAACACCTCTCCAGGGCACCCATCCAGCAACGCTGGGAAGAGGGGTTCGAGGCACTCGAACCCTCCTCCAAAACGGTTCGAATTATGCCAGCACGGCAGCTATTGATGTTAGCACGGGCGATGGAGTCCGAATGTAAAGAAGGTACGCGTTGCTCGACCAACGACCCAATGTCTTAATTAAGTGATCCGGGATGCCCGCAGACACTTCTGTGGTCGCCGCGCCAATCCTGAAACTGTGACTGGAGTAGGTACCACGTATTCCAAAGTTGGATAACATCGCACGGAACCAACAGTAGACCACTACCGGTGTTAGAGGAGAGCCATCGTCGGATAACACGAACACGAACATGCCTCGAACCTGAAGGTAACGGCGAACCGCAGATACGGCGCAGATGCGCTTTCCCGACGCACCGATGGAGAGAGACACGCCTCGGCGGAACGAGTCCGTTTTTGACGTCTTGATGAAGAGGTAAAGGCAACCCGACGTATCAAAGGACACGTCTGAAATCGACAGGTGGACCAGGGGATCAAACGACCCCGAACAAGTAAATTCGCTAACCCGAAGAAAGCAAAAAAAAGCGAGAGAACAGGCCGCCCGAAACATGCTATGATCATGCGAGTCCTCTGAAAGAGCCGCCTGAACAGCAGAGACGACAGATTCACCAGTGGACATCCCGACGAAAGTCGACGTTAAGGCAAACTGGGTGTGAGCGATTGCGAGAATGAGCCTGAAGATCAATCATACGGCGCAAAAAAAGTTCTCCCAGGACGGTGGAGGTGGCCAATCAAGGACTCTAATTCCTGACAGTGACAAGTACGCTTGTTGGACCAAGACTGGAGGAGTGACATGGAACGGTTGAACTTTTCGGCTGGCAACCTAGCGATTTGATTGACCGAGTCGAGCTCAATACCTAAGAACACCATGCAGGTTGGGGCCCCTCGCATTCTCATGGCTAAGAGGGAAACCCAAGTGGTTGAAGACGGTAAACGAAGTGTCGACGTGGGCTTGTCACACTGGAGACAACGGGGAACCCAAAGTTAAAAATCATCGAGGTACTGGAACAACGGGTGAACGTGGTAGTTGTTTGAAAGAATCCAATGAACAGCGGACGCAACGAATCAAAAATGAATGGAGCAGACCTGAGGCCAAAAGGTAGCACCAACTCCACATAGAAAGAGTCTCGCCAGTACATGCCTAAAAGATGATGGTCGGAGACGTTGATCGGAATGTTACGGTAGGCGGGCTGCACGTCGAACTTGGCCATTAGGACCCCGGGGCCAATGACAACGAGGGATCTGATAGCGTCGTCAACGGAAATATATCGCATAGAAAAGGGATCCTTAGGTATACCATCGTTCACGCTTTCTCCTTGGGGAGAGGAAAAGGTCCAGGATGAGGCGCCACTTCCCCGATTGATGACGTTTCGGAATAACCCGAAACGGACTGGTTTGGAGAGACGATAGCGGGGTGGGGGGGGGGTACGGGTAAGGACCAGGCCACCCGGCGGTGAGCGACTTCAGCCGAGAGATATTTGTCGATCACGTCCGGGTGTTGAGATGCCGACTTAAGATTGCGGAGCGATGGACGAAGGACCACACGCTCTGGAACGAAACCCACACGGAAACCGTCGCGAATCCCCGCCAACACATACTCCTTGCGGGGACTAGGATACTCCCGGAGCTCGTGCACAAATGCTTCGAGATTGAGAGGGCAAATAGAGCCGATCGTGAACGAGGATAAAGGGAGTGGGGTAGGTCCCAGAAAGAGATCAAAGATGAGAGATACGTAGCCCGCCCGACCGAACGAATACAATTTTATTGGCTAATGATAGACTAAAGAGACTAGACTACAAATGTATGTATGTATGTATTGGCTTAACCACACGACAATAGGCCCTTTCAAGGTTTATTCCGCCATATTGCCGGGGGTGCAAAACATTGGGGCGAGCGCGCGGCCAAGCTATGGCTGCCATATATTTTACTAATGAGTGAGCGATAATTTTGTGTGGACATTTTGTTGATTTTCTTATGCTATATTAAACGATAGTCCAAATTTTTATATTCTGGCTGATCTGTGTGTATTTTCAAACTACTGGTAAAGATTTCAATGGAATCTGATTGGGGAAAATCCGTGAATATGCTGATTTCTTCGACACCTTTTGGCGAGCTATTTACAGTGGGTTCACGACAACGAAACGCCGAAAACAGGGCTTTTTCGTCTCTGTTTGTTTAAACAAAACAACATTACAAAAGAATCATGTTTAAAAACAATACAGCAAAGCCGTCGGGAAAGAAGAAAGACGTCCAGGTGCGAGAGTGTAACCTGATACCAATGTCAATCTCACCTTTAATATCGAATCCAAAGGGTATATATTGAGAGATATTGAGTTTGAGTTGTTTATATTTTATGTTCTCATAGGAGGATTATATTGCAAATGGATTATATTACGAGGATTTCGTTGGGTTGACAGTTTCGAGTGGGAAAAAGGTTGAACTTGTGGCAAGAGCATTTATTAAAGCGTATGAATTGGGTGCTTCAAAGAAATTTACAAGGAACAAATTTTTGATAGATTAATTAAGGAATACCAACAAAGGCTACAAACTAATGATATTATTAAGAGCGAGGCTAACACTCTGTGCGATGAATATTGGAAAGATGACATTCAAAAACATGGCCACATCTTGATGATGGAATGCTATACATTCTACGAGTAAAGGCAGTGGATGTTGAATATATTGGCAAATGCAAAGATGAGAGGGCCTACTCATATTGGATGAGTGGATTTGTTGATATATTAAATTCATGTTGCTAAATGCCCCATTGACAAGACCATGACATTTTTTTGTAAATTCAGTATGTCCATCACAAAGGATGACTCGCATATAAAAGTGTGGATGTGTGTCCTTGAACAGCTGGAACAGTTGAGCATGTAATCATGTACTTGCAGTCTTCAATGTATTAAATAAATTATGCTTACAACATGTCAACAAGCAATATATTTCCCCTGCCTGTGTGCTTGTATCAGTGTTCCCCAAGGATAGAACAAAGGAACTTGAAAAGAAGTAAATCCAAGCATGCAAGGTTAAAAATTTAATATTTAGACCAAAATTGTGGCTGCAATTAAACAGTGAGGAAAGAATTTGACCCCAGAAAACATGAGGACAGAAATATTACCAATGAAAGAGTTTCTTTATTATTTATTTATTTATTTAGTTTTAATTTTTATCCCCTATGTACAGTTCCATAGACAATTAATATTTACATATTTTTCCTTATATTAATTTGGGCTAAAGACCTACTAGATACTTTGTTAGGCTTTTTGCTTTAGGCCCCTAGTAAAGGTTTATAGTTAACTGTTAGATTTATAACATATTATTTTATTTTATTTTACAGTCAAATCAGAGAGAGCATTTTCAGAGTAATAGAGGTACAATAATATGCAAATAGAATAATGTGCAAATAGAATGTTTTCATCAAAAAATGCTGCTGAATTTGTTTTATGAAGATGTATTGAGAGTTTATGTCTTTATTTTTTATTCTAGTGAGTTCCATACATCAACTCCATTATTAGAGAGAATATGTTTTACATAATTTGTTCTTTTATACCACTTGTGAAGTTTTGATGAGTTTCTTGAGCTATTTTGATGAATTTGATTGATAGTCACAAAAATTTATCAAATACTTCAGGCAGGTTTTTAAGATTATTGAACTGCATTGTAGATACTGTTCCTTCTGCTTGTGTTTTGCTCTCAGTTGGCTATAAGGGTGGTACTGCCAATGAGAACAACTGAAACTCTCAATGTTATATACCCTTTGGATTCGCCTACTTTTAGAATTTATCTCTTATATCTAATACTGTAATTACTAATAGTATGTCATATAATCAAAGGTGAGATTGACATTGGTATCAGGTTACATTCTCGCACCTGGACGTCTTTCTTCTTTCCCGATGGCTTTGTTGTATTGTTTTTAAACATGATTCTTTTGTAATGTTGTTTTGTTTAAACAAACAGCGACGTAAAAGCCCTGTTTTCGGCGTTTAGTTGTCGTGAATCCACTGTAAACAGCTCGCCGAAAGGTGTCGAAGAAATCAGCATATTCACAGATTTCCCCCAATCAGATTCCATTGAAATCTTTACCAGTAGTTTGAAAATACGCGCAGATCAGCCAGAATACAAACATTTGGACTATCTTTTAATATAGCACGAGAAAATCAACAAAATGTCCACTCAAAATTATCGCTCACTCAATAGTAAAATATATGGCAGCCATGGCTTGGCCGCGCGCTCGCCCCAATGTTTTGCACCCCCGGCAATATGGCGGAATAAACCTTGAAAGGGCCTATTGAAAAATCGAAACATCCATTATACAATCAAATGGAAACTATTGAAACGAGCTAAGCCTTATAACTGTGCTTCAAATAGATGTAATTTGTGTTTATGGGAGAAATACTTTATTATTTGTAAGCCCAAAATGGCCACTTTAAACAAACGTAATGAGTTAGTATCAGCATGTAGGCATAATAAAAAATTCCTTTTAAGTAACATTTAAAAGCTAGACATTTAAATATACCGCGGTGTGTTAATCTTTCCGCGTCCTGTCAGCTTATCATATAACATGTTTATTAAATCGCGTGCTTTGTAAATAGGATTAAGTTTCATGTCTCATCCACTTGTACATATAACCTTGTAAGTTTTAGTCTATAGTCATTAGGGCAATTTATCTGAAGAGTGCCACATACTGTGGTACGAAACTATTTAGTAATAAAGATGCCTAGTGGATTTTGTTGATTTGTTGTACCTTAATTTAAATATGCTCTGGTTTTCCATTGAGCACTTTGCCAAAAGTTTTTATAACCAACAAAACCAAATTTTATATATATATATATATATATATATATATATATATATATATATATATATATATATATATATATATATATATATATATATATATATATATATATATATATATATATATATATATATATATATATATATATATATACACTGTAAATCTGGGAGTGTTACCACAACACCGAAATCGGTGTAAATTCTTGCAGCTGTGTGGACACCGATTTAGTGTTTACTTACACTCATTTTGGTGTTAAAATACACCTTTCAGTGTTAAATAGATGCAGCTGTGTGAACACCGAATTGGTGTAAATCTACACTACGAGTGTAAAATAACACCTCCGAAGATCTTTTCACACTCTTTTGGTGTAAATAGCTTCCAGCTGTGTGAACACCGATTTGGTGTAAATCTACACTACGAGCGCAAAATAACACCTCCGAAAGTATTTTTACACTGTTTTGGTGTAAATAGCTTGCAGCTGTGTGGACACCGATTTGGTGTAAATCTACACTACGAGCGTAAAATAACACCTCCGAAGATATTTTTACACTGTTTTGGTGTAAATAG